TCATCTGAACATTTGTTCCATTGCATGTTCAGATTTAAAAAAAAATCATCACAAGTATCACTGGCTGAACTGGAAATGGGTTCAGTGGAAGAGCAGAGCTCAGAGCAGTGTCAGGGCACAGGGGTCCAATCAGCCCAGCAGGGACACGGTGGTCCCAGGGAGCAGGAGGGCTCCTCGGGAAGGAGGAGGATGAGCAGGGTCAGGAGGAGCCCGGGCAGGAGGCTCCTTGTCCTCAGGGAGCTTCTCCCTTCCTCTGAGAGTGAAGCTGATGACCTGGGAGCCAGATGCCCTGGTGGGCTCCAGGCTGCTGCCAGCTCTGTGCCACGGCCTGTGAGTGTCCCAGGGAAACCAGGGCACACGGACAAGGGTGGAACTGGATCTTCAACACCTCAGCTCTTGTGCTGGCATCAGGCTTGCACTGTAGCCCTGTGCCTTGTGGCTTGTTCTGTGCTGCTGGACGGGTCACACTGGTTCTCAGGCTCTGCTGCTCCAGCTGAGGGTGACAAAGGGACAGCCAGCCAGGTCCTGAGGTCATCCCTACATTCTAGTTTCCTCGAGTTTTATGTTAAAGACCTCAGGAAAGACTGTAGGAAGAGAAGTGATGGAGCATAACGATGAAAACTGAGGGTTCCCATTTCATCACGAGGAGTTCCTTGCTTTTCTTTGGGAGGAATGGCTGTAAAGTCTCTATCCAGCTATAAAGTCTCCTTGACTGTCTTAACAGCTGCAGTCCTCCTAACGTCCACCTCTGGCAGAGGGTTAGGGTCTGCCATGCCCCCTTCTCTCCACCTCTGGTGTTGCTCTGAGTGCTGAGCTGCCTGTGTGGGTCCCACCTCTGGGAATTCTTTGTGTTCATGCCAGCAGTGCCCCTGGCTCTCCCCTCCCCAGAGAACCCACAGGGAAACAGGTCCCAGACCCAGCAGCATCCCCCATGGAGCCTGGCTGGATCTAGGACCCCTCCCAGCTGGCTGGGTCCAGCTTCAGTTGTGAGGTGTGGTCTGGGGGGCTGCTGCTTTGGACCCTCTGTGGAAGGTTGATACTTCTGGAAGTAACATCTGCTCGGCCTTGAGCATTGGGGATGTTCCTTTGGACCTGACTCTGAGGCACTGTGCATCCCTGAGCAAGTCCCTTCCCCTTCCATGCCTCAGTTTCTTGGAGGGAGGTGCAGCTGATGTCTTCTCCTCAGCATCACAAAGCTGGAGAATGCACAGATGGAAGTGCTAAAAATGATCTTAGAATCAGCAGTTGTCCTCAGATAGATTTTTTTTTTTTTAATAAGTGTCTTTCCTTTATCCTGGGGTCTGGTTTCTTTTCAGGGGCTCAGGAGAGAAGCAAGTTCAGTCCCTGTCCCCAGTAATGTAACAGAATGGGATGTCAGCATGGTTTGTGTCTTGGTGGCTTTGGGATCTCTCCCACAGCAGGGCTGATGGTCTTCACATCTCTCTTTGTGGGTCTGGCCTTGCTGTGCTCCATGATCTGGGAGAGGCCTTTGTGCTGAAAGCTGCTGCACTTGAAAAAGTGATGAGGTTTTCCTCTTTCTTTTTATAAATCCCTCCCCAGACATATGGTACATTTGGAACTGGTTTTATAAAAGATATTCAAGGGTACTTTGCTTCTATATATTACAGGTAGCTGAAGCTCCACCAGAGTTATTCTGGTGGAACTTGCTTTGTGTAGGATCCCAAACTTCACCACTGGATTCTGGTCTGGGTTTTGGTTCTGGTTAATGCTCGGGGTGGTTGTTAAGCCACAGCTCACAGATCTGGGAGCAGGGCTGGTTTTGGTTGATCCAGTTTACCAGCTTGTCAACAGTTTTCAACTTTCATGAGCGCCCATCTGCTTGATGGGGAGATTTGAATGTACAAGTCAGGGTGTTGTGGATCAAAGTCCCTGTGCCTGGAGTGCTGGTGGGACTTTCTCAGTTCAGTGGGATGAGTAGAAAAGATAAAGAAAGAACCAGAGTTTTGGTGTTGGTCCAAGGAGATTCAGAAGACAGTAGGCTCTTTTGATGGGTTCTGAGGATTTTTTATTAGCTAGAAATAAGCTGCAATAGTTCTTTTCTCAACAGGGCACCAATTAAGCAAAGGTGCAAGTTTCAGGGTCCACTCCTGTTCTTTGGGAGTTCCATGGTTTGCCTATGACTTGAGAACCTTCTTGAGAAGGTTTCCAGAGTCCCTTTGGCATAGTTCCATAATTCTCCAAAGCTCAATTCCAGTTAACAGATTTAAAGCCTAGGCTCTAAAGGCTTGCACTGGATTTCTGGGCAAAAAATTCAGAAGATTTGCAGTGCTTGAAACGATCTTGGCGTGGGAGCCAAGCATTGAGAGGGGCACAGAAGTTTACACTATGTTGCCTTCAAACTTTCTGACCCAGTCAGTTCCTGCTCCTTCTGCTGTGTTTGTCCAGGTGTGTTCTCAGGTCCTGGCTTTGCTTGGGTGCAGTGGACAGGTCCTGCTGTCAGGGCAGCAGAGCTCAGGGGCAGCAGTCCCCACGGGCATCGTGCAGAGACTCCTCCCAGGGGCTCCATGAGGTTATGAATGCTCAGCAGCTTGCAGCCTGCATGGACTGTGAAATATCCATAAATGCAGAAGTCTATTTCACTGCCAGAACAGAAGGATGTAAAGTCTCCTGGCCTCTGAAGGTGCCACAGCACAGCTGCAGAGTGTGTGGCTGTGTGCTAGGGGTGAGCTGGAAATGTCAGTGATTAGAAGCATAAAGTCTGTGGTTGGAAAGCAGGCAAGAGAGGAAGAGCCCCCAGGCCTGTGTGAAGGTGGTGTGAGAGCCTAGAGGAGAATGGAGAAGGATTCCCTTGCTTTGATGAATTATTCTGCACTACAAGCTCTTTAGCAAGTGGGATTCTTTACAGGAACCATTGGCTTCCTGCTCTCTGCAGTCTCCTCTCAAGGTGCTCAGCACCCCCCCGTGCTTCCCCACCACTCTGCCTTTACAGAGCACTGATGCTCTTGCCTTTTGGTTTTCCTTGGAGGTATTAAAACATTGGAGTGGTTTCCAAAGTGCCATTGCTCCTGTCCCCACTCTGAGCCCTGCAGGTTGTCTTCCATGGTTGTGTGATTGTGGGTGCAACCTTTAGCTGGTCTCCTTTCCTTCCTTCTCATTTTTGATTCAAGCTATGTGTGGAGAAGAGGTGTCTGTGTGGTTTTGCAGGGTCATTATGTACTGTGTCTACAGGAGGAGCAGATACCTTGCTCCCCATGGGTCTTTTGAGACAGGACTTCTACCACAGAGGCCTCTGAGTCCATTCAGAGGGAGGAGCTGCAGAGCTAGAAGCCATGCTCAGCCTTGCTGTACTTTTCCCCTTTTGGAGGCTTTGTTCAGGTCTGTGACACCCGTGCAGCTGTCAGTCCCTGCCTTCAATGCAGGCCCTTCAAAGGTGTGTCCTGTGACCAGCAGTCAGGTTTGCCCAAGCCAGGCAGGGAACAGAGAGCACAGCTGGGCAAACAGGGTGGGGGGAGGACAGTGGGGCAGGGTCAGAGAGGTCTCCCCAGGGCTGGCCCCCGTGGGTGCAGCTCCTGTCAGAAGTCTGCCAGCAGCTGGACCTCCCTTGCTGTGGTTAGTTGATTTATGCCAGGTCTAGCTGGTGCTTTATGTAGGAAAGTCTCAGGTTTTAGGCAAAAACGTGTAAGTTGGCCCTTCCCAGTAACATGTTATTCCTTCACAAAGACACAAGAATGGGGGAATGGGTCCCAACAAAATTAATAGCCTAGTCTTCCTTGTCTAGGAGCCCAGCATTGATTTAAACCAGCTCAATGCTGGTTTCTGAAATCAGTTGAGGTCTCTGGCCATTGAGATATCATCACAACCAAGTGAGCAGTGCAGTATTCCCTGGGGATAAAGGCACTGCTGCCACTGACAGCTCCTGTGCATGACGTGGAGGCAGCAGGATGCTTGGTTTGGAGTGGCCAGTGACAGGGGCAGAATGGAGACCAGTCTTCCCAGCCTCAGCTGGAGGAAGGGTATGGGGAACATTTGGCACAGGGGTCCCGAGGCAGCTGGAAGTTTCCGGGCACTGTGGAACCTGGTTTGGGCAGGCAGAGGGGTTCCAGGCTGCCTGCTTGGGGAACACTGTGTTGGGCCCAGCACGTGGAAAGCTTAGGCTGCATCAGCACCATGGGACAGTGCTGGGAAGTGTTGCCAGGCACGGGACCTGGCTGCCTGTTATTAGTTATTATTTGTTGTCAGGGCAGTCCCTGGTGCCTTCCAGCCTGGCCTGACCAATGCTGTCTCACACGAGCCTCAGAGGTAACCTGGGAGCTGGTGTGGCCCGTGTACTCCTCACAACAGGCAGTCTGCTTGGTGACCACACTTTTCTGGAGGCCAGGCTGGTTAAGCAGCAGTTATCCACCCTTCTCTGCAGGCTGTGTGTGTCTCCATCCCCCTCGGTGTGCAGGGAAGGGAAAGGAGAGACATTCTCTCACTGCTGGCAGCACTGCCCCAGTGCTTCCTCGTGGAGATGCTCCCACTCTGCTCCCACTCTCAGGGCAGGCAGCCCGGGGGGAAGCCACTGCTGCCCCAGCTGGTGCCGAGCTGCTGAGGCTCTGTCCTGCCTGGCAGCCCTGCTGCTGGCTCTGCTGCCATCCATCTCCAGCTGAAACAAAGGGACAGGTGACAAGTGAGCAGGACCTGGCCTGGGTCACTGCTCAGCAAAGTTCCCTCTGCTTTGTTTGTGTGGGTTTTTGTTTTTTCCTTCTCCATGAGGAGTCCATTTGATCAGATGTAGCCTTGCAGGAGGGGATGTTCTGAACTGGTGGATGCCAGCCAGCGGTGCTGCTGTTGGCTAAGGGGCACTTGGCACAGTGCACCCCCCTTCACTGCTGCCTGGGAATAATCACCAGGGAGAGGAAGAGGTGGGGGAGAGGCTGGCTCCTCCCCATCCCACCTCTTCATTTAGGCTGTGCTAGAAAGAAAGTACCCCCTAAAAACAGCCTCGGTGATTTCAGAGGAAGAGGGCCACGGGAGCCTGGGCAGCAAGAGCCCCCAGGATGAGGGTGGGCACCCTCCTGAGCCTGCTGTTCCACTCTGCAGCTGCTTTCCACCAACTGTGAGTTACACTGAACTTCTGTTTGAGTCCCTCCTGAAGGCAGCAGTGCAGGCAGATCCCACACAGGGTCAGCTCTCCTGCCTTCTGCTCTGCCAGGTCACTCCAGAGGGCAGTGAGCCATTTACTTTGCCTCCCATGCACTAGCTTGACTCCTGTGAGTTAAAATACAAGCCACCTTTTTGGGGGGCTTCTAAGTCAGATCTTAGGCCCTGAGGTGTTTTCTTCTGCAGTTGCCATGCCAAATGTGACCCCTGGTGTCTGGGCTGCAAAGTCATGAGGCCACTTCTGAAGAGTGGAAGGGTTGGTTTTGGGGCATGCAGGAGATGACTGGAGCAAGGAGTTTAAAAAAGATTGTAGGCTGTACTGAAGCTAATCAAGCAGAAGCTGTTTCTGAAGTGATGAGTGAAGCAATCACTGCTGGGCTCACTGTTTGGATACAGACTGCAGCCATGGCTCGCTGCTGAGGAGCTCTGCAGTGGTGGGCTGCTGCAAGGAAGCTCTGCTGCTTCTCTGAGCCTTCTGATGCCTTTTTCCCCTGTCCCAGGCATTACCTGGTGGTGATCCCTGCAGACCTCCACGCCCCATCCACACAAGTTGCCTGCCTCCACATGACCTGTTACGAGGCAAAGCTTCAGGTGAAGCTGACCCTGGAGCGCTCTGCGGGCCGGGAGCTGCTGGTGCAAGAGACCATCCAGAAGGAGAAGACCTTCATGTGCACCAAGTTCTGGGTGAGCCACCCTAGGCAAATGCCACTGCTGACTTGCCCTTCAGGGACTGTAAACCTCTTGTGTCACCCCCTATCTAGAGATGACAGGGACAGGGTCCACTTTGCCTTGGAGTGAGCCTGGGAGGGAGTGGAGCGAGTGTTGCCTAGGGATGTGTGGCCCAGCACAGTTGGGCTGGCATTGAATTCCCCACGTTCCCCCTTCCTGGCATCTGCCCACCTTCCTGACCAAGTCTGAAGACTCAGAGGTGTCAGGCACCTACTTGTCACAAAATTCCTTAACCAGTGGGGAAAAAGGACAGACCCCAGGACGTGCAGGACCTCCTGCTGCCATGTAGAAATGAGTGGGATGTGGATGTGACCTGGATCCAGATACTGGAGGAGATGTCTGGGGTGAAGGGGAACTGGTTAGTTCTTCTGCTTTACTCTCAATTCCTCCTTAGGGTGCCCAGAAGATTATCTGGAGCCTGTGCTCTCCTCTCTCTGTACAGGTTGCACCTCCAGCTGATGGCACAGAGGAGATTGCCACTGTCAGACTGACCATCACGGGGGAAGGGGTCAGCACTGAGGAGGAGAAGAAGGTCCTGATCCGCAAGGCCAGCAGTGGCACCTTCATCCAGACAGACAAGCCCACCTACCAACCAGGGCAGAGAGGTGAGGGCTGCAAGTGGGAGCAGCCAGGGGCCCCAGCCCTCCTGCTGGTCCCACCACACAGAAAGCCTGTGCCTGCCCGAAGGGAGTGGACAGCCCTGGCAGAAGGCTTTGAGAGGATGTCCTTTGGGGATGGGATGTTTCAGTGGCTGAGATGTCTGGCTAGTGATGAGACTGGAGTTGCAGGAGGCAGAAGGTCATTGTCCATGGTTTCTTACACGTGGGAATATCCCTCTCAGCTGTTATTAAAAACGTGCCTAGAATGGAGACAGGAGCTGGGGAAACAGAGCAGGGGTCTGCAGAGGAGTGCTGAGATCTGATAAATGTATTCCCTGACTTCCCTGTCTCCAGTGAGGTTCCGTGTTGTGGCTCTGGATGAGGAGTTCATGGCTCTCAACGAGTCGGTAAGCCCTGCCTGGGTCCCGTGGAGCAGGCTGCCCTGGTCCTGTGGAGCAGGCTGCCTGGGTCCTGTGGAGCAGGCTGGCCTGGCCCCGTGTCCGGTGGAGCAGGCTGCCTGGGTCCTGTGGAGCAGGCTGCCCTGGTCCTGTGGAGCAGGCTGCCCTGGTCCTGTGGAGCAGGCTGCCCTGGTCCCGTGGAGCAGGCTGCCCTGTCCCACCTGGCTGATGGTGGCACAAGCGTGGGACACAACCAGTGCTGGTGTCACTTGGGAAGGGAGCAGTTTGCAGGCTGGGTTTCCCTGGGGGTGTGGTAGGGAGGGGTGCTCTTAATCTGCCTCCTACAAGTTGGAACGTGGCAAATTCTGATTATTAGGAAAAAAATTGTTACTGTGGTGATGATGAGATACTGAAACAGGTGGCCAGAGAAGGGATTTCCATCCTTGGAGGTGTCCAAAACTCAGCCAGAGAGGGCTGTGAGCAATCTGCTCTAAGATGATGTGCTTCAGCAGGGTGTTGGACTAGGTGGCCTCCAGAGCTTCCAGGTCATTAATGTGATCCTAGACCCCTGTAACCCCCTTAAAACTGCAGCTGAGCCAGAGCTCAGTCTGTCTGGGCAGTGAGTTTTCCTCTGAGGCCTCTGCTAGGAAGACCTTAGCAAGTGCTGAGAGACTCCAGACGGGCTTCTCCTTTCCCTCTCTCCAGACCCCTCGCTGTAATGGTCCCACCCAGTGTTTCTCCTTTTTGGTGATGTTTATTTTACTCTACATTGTTGTCAGTCTCTGAGTTTCCAGCTCACTGGTTGCACATCCTCCAGAGCAGGCTCTGCATCTCAGGTGCCTTGTGTGTGTTGCTGGCGTGTGCTTCTGTCTTCTAATGTTTTTGCCTTTTTTCTCCCCAGATTTCCCTGTTTCTCCAGGTGAGTGGTGCTGAAATCTGGTGTTACAGCAAAGCTGATGGCAGCCAGTTCACTGGGCTATTCATATTCAGTTCCTGATAGATTTTATAGACCTGTGAATGGAATGGTTGAACTTTAAGATTTCTTAAACTAACAATCTCTTTCTGTTCTGTGTAGCTGAGTACATAACACTCATAACGTACATTACCTGAGCATGATGCTCCCAGTTACTCCAGTAGAAATCTGAGTTCTTCTAGACTTGTAAGAGTATAGACAGATCAACTTAAACCTTTACAAAAAAGGTTTGAACTGTGAAGGAACTTGCCTTGAGAGCAGAGTTTAGAGAAGCCCAGAAGGAGATTCAGGTGCTGGGAGCAGAATCTGAGCATCATGTTGTCTTTCAAATTTCGTAACTAGCCTACACCAAACTTCATTTCCTAGCCGTAGAGGCTGGTAGTCTGCAGCACTGAGCTCCTGAAGCTCCATTTCTGTGGGATGTGGACCAGTGAGATGCTGGAACAACTGTTTCTTCCTCTCTTGAGGGTGTAGGACCCCAAGAACAACCGTCTGGAGCAGTGGCTGGACGTGGTGCCCCAGGACGGCATCGCGGAGCTGTCCTTCCAGCTGAGTGAGGAGCCTCTGCTGGGGACATATGTCATCAATGTCACCAGTGCCAAGGCATCTGGGAGCTTCTCCGTGGAGGAGAAGGGTATGAGCATGGGGGGACACAGCTGGGGACCCAGGCAGGACCTCCCACGCTTGCTTCAGGAAGCTGGGTCTTTATTCCATGGTAGCCACCCTGGGAGCAAATGGGAGAGGTAGTGGAGAAAGAGTCACAGGAAAGAGAAAAGTCACAGAGAAGAGTTTGAGCTGAGGCTCAGGAGAGAGACCACTGTGGGACCTGGGCTCAGTGTCTGTGAAGAATGTGGGGTGTCCCCAGACCTTTAGCACAGTGTTTCCTGCAGACCCGGCTCAGACAGAACAGGGTCCCTTAGGGTGGGCTTTTCAGAGAGCATGGAGCCCAGTGCCACCCCACTTCTCTGCCATCCCCCAGCTAACTGGAGTGGGAGTCTAGTCTTCTCCCACTGCAAGCAGCTGTCAGAAGTGCAGGGGCAAGGACACGTTTGGGTTTTCATTTGGGAAGGAGCAACCAGCCAAGGACTACACACAAACCTGTTATAGAAACAATGGGAATCTTCCTTCTCCCCTTCTCCCCTAACTCCTTCTCCATTTCCTGGCCCTTACCCCACCACAGTCCACCTTCCTGGAGGTTCTCTGGAAAGGCTGGCCCTGGACATGGTTTCCTAGAGTTGTCCCTTTTTTCCCTTCTAGTGCTGCCAAAATTTGAGGTGATCTTTGAGGCACCAGATGAGGTTTATGCACTGGATAAATCCTTCCCGCTGCGGATATGTGGCAGGTGAGAGCTCTGCTGGGAGGGGGGGCCCTCTGTTAGTTTCTGGCCTGATGAGCACAAGGTGGCTTGTTAATTGTGAGGAGCTCAGGGAAAAAATTCCTACACTTCAGTTACAGGAGGGCAGAATCTGCCCCAGCAGTTGTTTGCAATCTGATACAACAAAAATATTCCTATAACTGTCCTTGTGATACTTTAGTGCTCCTTTTCTAAAAACACTCCACAAGCCTTTCCACCCCAGAGCTGGGGGGAGCCCTTTGACAAGCAGCCATTTGTGGACCAGAACAGATGTTTGGTGTTCATCTCCCTGCAGAACAAACTCATGAGCTGCTGGGAAGCTTCTCCAGGTGATGCTCTAGAGAATCTTATAGAGAGGCAAGACCAGGAGCACTCCAAGGACAACCCCTGGGGTTGCCAGCCTCACGTGAGGGTGCTTTCTTAATGAAAGGCACTTTCTTAATGACCTGTGCTTCTGCCCTGAGGCAGCTGCTGCACACTTGTGTGTCTTGGCGTGGTCCAGGTGGTGCTGGTGTGGAGTGCAGGGCTCTGGGCTGAGCCAGAGCCTACAACACTTTGGTTGCCCAGAATTCTGTAAGCTGGGTACTAATTGCACCACGAAGCCCTTGGTCTCCCATCACTGCACCAGGCTGTCCCTGCTTGCTGGGTCGGGGCTCCTGGGCCTGCTGCTTGGTGGCCACTCTTGTGCTGTTTTGAGCCCCCATGAAGAGGTGGCCCCTGTGGTGCAGAGCAAGCCCTGTGTTCTTTTTGTGGTGTGAGATTGTCTCTTCCTTTCCTTGCTCCCCAAACAGATATGCCGATGGGAAAGGCATCCAGGGGATGCTCCACGTGAGCCTGTGTCAGAAGATAGCCCCATTCCTGCCCAGTGCTTCAAAACCTGACCTCTGCCAGGAGTTCAGCAACCAGGTGAGACGCTTGGCAGGAGCTGAGCCCTGCTCAGAGGTACGTGTGCTGAGCCCCAGGGTACAGCAAGGCTTCTGGAGCCTTCAGCTGGAACAGTGGTGATGTCACCCCACGTTTTTGGCTGCCTGGCCAGTGGTCTGCTGGTCCTGCTTCTTTACTGACTGTGGCTGGTGACTCTGGGTGCACATCGTGTGCCTGCCCCACATCCCTCACTGCTGTACCGAAGGGCAAGCTGCCTGGGGGCAGGGATCTTGTGCTGCTGTTTCTGCCCTATTTGGGCAATTTCTCCCATGAATCCCTCCCTTGGATGCTGTTTCCTCTCTCTGTACCTCCAGACAGATGAGACAGGTTGCTTCTTCTCCAACGTGAGCCTGTCCTCCTTCAGTCGAGACTTTCGGTACTACCAGGACAGCATCGTGGCAGAGGCCGTGCTGGAGGAGGGTGGCACAGGTAACTGCAGTCACCTCCTGCTGAGGAAGAGCTGTGTGCAGATGCACTGAGCTTACCAAGGGCACTGGAGTCCTTGCCCTGATAGGCAGTGAGTGCTCGGAGCTCTCTGAGGCCGTTGGGATCTGCCATCCAACCTCAGAGGTACAGGCAGAGCTGTCGGTTCCTGACAGGGTGACACTCCCTCTGAGCTCACCACCCTCAGGTGGAGAAGCTGAGGGACTCTCTAAGGGCTAGAAGTGAACGGGAGGAAGACCAGATACCCAGAGCCTGGGCAGGTCACCTTCCTGGTGTGAAACGTGTGTGCAGCTGAAGGTGTGCATGGCACGGCCAGTGGGCACCCTGCAGGGGGGCTGCTGGGGGGTGCTTGGCTCCCTGGTCCCTCCCTTCAGCTCTCTGTCTCACTGCTTTGCCTCAGAGGCACACGCCAACGCTTCCCACGAGCTGCTCATCTCCAAGATCAGGGGGCTGGCCTTGTTTGATGATGTGAACTCTTACTACCACGCTGGAGAGATCTACAGGGGGAAGGTAATCCCCAGTTCCAGCCCTTCGTGGGGGAGAGCATGGACAATTCTGATTCGTGCCTGTTCTAACCTCACCTCCAGCTTGGGAGGACTTGAATGACTCCCAGAGGCAAAACTCTTGAGTCATCAAAAGTGAGAATAACACCCAAGGCTGCCACTTGCCAAATAAGCCATGACTAGCAGCAGATATGGGGACCTCTATGTGGGGTGCAAACCCAAACATTTGGAATTCCAGCAGCCAAGAGGGCTTGTGCTGTGGAGGAGCAGAGAGCACGGGTGTGAAAGAACTGGGGTTATGATAGGAGAGGACCAGCAGTGCTGCTGGTAATGTTGTTAGTGACTGGAAGGGTGATCTTGCTGTCTTTGGAAGTGCTCCTCCTGCCCTCTGTCCACTGATTAGACTCTTCTGTGCTTCCCTTACTCATTATGATGTTCTCAGATTAAAGTCATTGACTACCAAGGCAAGGCACTGAAGCACCAAGAAGTCCTCCTCGTAGTAAGCTGTGGTGGGCAGCAGTTCAAGCAGAAGTACCTCACTGGGGACTCTGGGACAGCTTCATTCAGCCTGAACACGACTGCTTGGAACAGCTCCTCCATCTCCCTGGAGGTAAGTGAGCAAGGACCTGTCTCGATTGCTGTGTGTGCATCCCAGAGCTATTTACTGCCCCACAGGCATCTCCCTCCTTCCTTCTTGGAGGGCAGTGATTAGAGCCTGAGGCATCTCGGTCTGTTCTGGTTCTTGGCTCCCTCTGACAGTTTATTCTCTAGGTCTGAGTGGCTTTCCTGGTGAAGTGCCCACCCCTGGGCTGCAGTGCTGGTTGGACCCAAGCTGAGCTTCTGGCCAAGCCCCAGCAGGGTGATGTGCAGATGACTTAACTAGAGATGTTAACTGTGGGGTTTTGGTTGTCTCACCAGGCGAGTGTCCTGCATCAGGATTTGGATAGAGAGCCTGGGACAGTGGATTTGAGGTACCAGCGAGCCTCTCATTTCATACAACCCTTCTACAGCACCAGCAGGAGTTTCCTCTCTATCGTCCGTGTGCCAGAAACAATCCCCTGTGGTGAAAAGCAGCCTGTCCAGGTGGACTTCAGGATTTACCAGGAGGACCTGGATCATGGGCCCAAGCGTGTCATCTTCTCCTACTTTGTGAGTCTCTGGGACAGTGCTGGTGGGTGATGGCTCAAGGGACAAAATCAGCATGTCCTACAGATTCAAGCCTGGTATTTGGTGGGTTTGGCTCAGCCCAGGAGAGGTTAACTCATCCAGCCAACACGGGGCTGGATCCTGGTTTGGATCCTGGGGCTGAAGTAGTAGCAAGAAAGCACCTTTCTTTTGGGCTCTGCACGTGTGCAGGGCAGGAATTGGCCTTACCTGTCCTCCCCCAAGTGTCTTGATCCCCTGGGCTCTTTCTGCTACTTGAGAATGGTTAAGCTCATATCCCTCCCCCCAGTTGAATCTCCAGTTTCAGGGTCTCTTTGACCTGCATGGTGATCTCAAGGACTGTGTGACTGGCATTCCATCCTCTCTTGTATTCTTCCCCAGGTCACAGGGAGAAGAGGGATAGTCCATGCAGGTCAGAAGACTGTTTGGGCTGGGCTGCCAAGAAGTGAGTGCAGTCCCCTGTTTTGTGTCTGGCCAGCACTCGTGGATCCCATGTGACATCCCATCATACTCAGACTCGTGGCAGCAGCCTCTTTGCAGTTTAGAACTGGGTCCCCTCTTGAGAGCAGCCTCTCCAGCTTTTGTTTCCTTTGCCCTCCTGCTTGGCACTGAGGGAAGAAGAGTCAGCCCTGTCCTCTCTGCAGGCTCAGCAGCTCTTCTCTTCATTTGCAGTCTCCTTTGCAGCCCCTGTTGGCATGAAGCTTCATCCTTCCCCTCTCTCAGAACTCTCCTGCTTTCACCTGCAGTTGTGTCCACAGATAACCTGAGTGCTTAGGATGCCCCAGGTTATCATTTTGAGGGCTGTTAACTCACTGTTGGCTACTTTCCAATTGTTTTTTTTCTAAAACCTAAACTACAGGTGCTTGGGGGCACAGGTCACCTCTTTGTTGGTTATGGGGTGGAAGATGTTTGGTGATGGGAGGCTTTGGGAGATATGAGACTCTCACTCTTTGTGGAGCTAAGATTGAACTGTTCAAGAGATGTTTCATCTCCTTGAGGCAACGAAGAGACTGAGGAAGAGTCTTTAGCTAGTCTTGAATACCAGACCCAGAGATGTGCTGATGGTTTCAGTGGTGTCCAGAAATCTCCTTGGTCCTGAAAGACTTGAGGGAATGAATTAAATGGGCACATGCAGACTGACAAAAGCTGATCAGAGTCTGTTTTCACAACCAAATCTGCTTTCTCTTCTTCCCTCTCTCCTCCATCTAGTGCTGAAAGGCTTCTTCTCCATCCCTATTACCTTCAGCTCCATCTATGCCCCAGCTCCAAGACTTCTTGTTTATGTTATCTTCCCAAATGGGAAAATCATCACTGATTCTGCCACCTTCAGTGTCTCCCCGTGCTTCAGAAATAAGGTAGGATTTGTGTTGGAGGCCGTGGCTAAATGTTTGAGGGGTTTTTTGTCTGCTCCATTGAGAGAAGAGACTGAGGAGCACATCATAGGTGTGGCTGATGCTGCCCTGGGGACTGCAGGGTGTGAGTGAGGTGTGCTGGGAGGTGTGGAGCAGGGACTGAGCTCTGGGGGGGCTGCTGCAGGGTTTGGGGACAGCAGAGAGCTGGTGTCTATCTCCACAACCTAGCACAGCAGCTGCCACCAGTAGGAGCCCAGCCCAGCACAGGGTGTCACTGAGGTTCCCAGGAGACCTCAAGGCTGCTGTGCTACTGCAGCACACTTGGGCTCCTTCCTCTTTGCCCCTGTGAGGACAGCTGAGGGTGGCTGCTGGAAGGAGTGGATTTTACTGGTCATCCAGAACGGGCTGAGCACTTGTGGCTCTTGTGACATCCGTGGGATTCTGCTCTCCTGGCTGTGTCTTGCACTTCAAGATGAAGTTCTGAGGGCTGGCATTACCCCTGTTCCATAGCTGCTTATCTGCCACAGACACTCCACCAGGGAAGGCCTCAGGAAACTGAGACCAGCCCCACAAAGAGCCTGGAGATAAGCACTAGGCTTCTCTTTGAGCTGGGGCTCCAAAGGAGCAGAAGGACAGCAGAGTGAGGTGTGTGTACACAGGGTAAAGAGAGCACTGTGTCCTGGCACAGAACACCTCCAGTGCTGTCAGTGTGCACACTGGTGGTTCCCCCTCTGCCACCCTTCCTGGTGGAACCTCAATGGGATGGGTTTTAAATACCTGCTGGGGGTGCTTGAGAGACTCCTCGGGTGTTCATCCAAGGCAGGTGCTTGGACCCTCTCTTCACACAGGTCTCTTCCCTGCTCAGAAGTGGTAAGGCAGCCAGAGCAGGGACCTCACCTGGCTGTTGCCTGTGTTCCCCCCATTCAGGTGGAGCTGAGCTTCTCCACGCCAGAGACTCTGCCTGGCTCACAGGTTGGTCTCCAGCTCCTGGCAGCCCCTGGGTCCACGTGTGCTGTCTGGGCTGTGGATCCCAGTGTCCTCCTGGAGCCAGGAAAAGAGCTCAGCAGCTCCCTGGTGAGTGACCTTCCCTTCCCTTGTACTGACCTAAGAGGGAGGGAGGGGACAGGGGACAGGTCTGGGCAGAGCTTGTCTCCCAAAGCACTCAGAGCTCTGCCAGGGGGATCAGCAGTGCCCTGGCCGTGGCACAGGGAGGGCATGTGTTAGTCACAGACTATCTGGGCTGGAAGGTGCCTCCAAAGTCATCTAGTCCAATCCCCCCATCATCAGCAGGGACATCTCCAACTAGATCAAGCTGCTCAGAGCTTCATCCAGACTGATCTTGAATGTCCCCAGGGATGGGGCCTCCACCACCTCTCTGGGCAACCTATTCCAGGGATCTATCACCCTCCTACTGCAGAACTTTTTTCTAATGTCTAACCTAAATCTGCCCTTTTCTAGCTCAAAGCCATTGCCCCTCGTCCTGTCCCTCCAAACCCTTGTGAACAGTCCCTCCCCTGCTCTCCTGTAGCCCCTCTCAGGCACTGGGAGGTCGCTCTAAGGTCCCCCCAGAGCCTCCTCTCCTCCAGGCTGAACACCCCAACTCCTCAGCCTGTGCTCCCAGCAGAGCTGCTCCAGCCCCTGGATCATTGGACCATCTCTCACAGTTTGGGGTGTTTTAGGAGACCATTGCTCAGTGCACCAGTGGAGAATCAGCTTCTGCTCTGTCTCCTGTTGGGTTCTGTGGGCTGTGCTGGCTGTGCCAGAGGAGAGCCTGGGCTCTCTGGGGTGTGTCCATGCACAGGAGCCAGGGACAATCCCACCATGCCATGGATGTATGGCAGGAAGGGAATGCCAGGATTTATTTTTTGCTGATTTTTTCCCTTTTTCTTTCTTTCTCAGATCTATGGGCTGTTCCCATCTGTCTATAGCCCCAGGTATCCTCCTCAGGTGTCTGAAGATGATCATTCATGTTCGGCCCCAAATTCTGATGAGCCTGATGTGTTTACAACATTCAGGGTAAAAAAGATTGATGTGGTGGGTTGGGGTAATTAATGAGCTGAGGGAAGTGTGACTGACTTCACCAACGTCCCAGGGATGCCACTGCAGACAGCCCAGGGAACAGGCCCAGTTTAGGCCCTTGTGCCTCCCTTGTTATTTGAATAAGGGACTTGGTTTATTGGTTGCTTTAATTTGATTTCACATGATTTGTTTAATCCCCATAGCATGAGCTATTGCACTCTGCAGGCTGAGGAGACATGGTACCTAAATGACCCTGTGTTTGGGAAAGAATGAATTTGGCTGACTCAGAGCAGATGAATTAGCTCAGGAGACCTTGTTTGCCCATTGCTGAGAATCTGAATAATTCCCTTCCAAAATGAAGCAAGAGAATACCCTGCCAGGCCAGAGGACAGCTAAGTCCCCACTGCATGAGGGGACAAGAAGACACAGGGTAGAGGGCAGAAAGGAGAGGACAAGCTTCTGGTGCATCAGTTCTTCCTTCTTCCTGTAGGACATGGGGTTGAAAATTATGTCCAACACTGCTATCAGGAAACCCAGAGTGTGTCCAACCACTCCATCGCCAGCTCTGCTGCAGGACAGGGGAGTGTTTACTTCCAGGCCCATGCTGATGTTGGCCCAGCCCCAGAAAGCCTCCAGCAGTAAGCATTTCCAACTCTTTCTTCTCCCTGGGGTGCTTAGTCTCTCAGGTGAAAGCAGCTCTGGGTCTGAGCCAGGGGGCAGGACTGCTGGAACTGCAGGTGGAGGAGAGGGGGACCTGCCCCCCAGACCTGCCCTGAGGCTGCCTGGCACTCGTGGCTTTGGGCTCTGAGATGTCAGAGAGCTGTCTGGATCCCTGCCCTTGGCTCTGGGGTGAGGCAATGGTTGCCCTTCCAGTGATGCCCACAAATACAAGGCACAAAGCACCTCTCTGTCTTTTGAAACCTGGATCCCTGCCCTTGGCTCTGGGGTGTTCCAGTGATGCCCACAAATACAAGTAAGCCACAAAGCACCTCTCTGTCTTTTGAAATGAGGCAAGAGATTCAAAATTTAGGCTAGAACCTTCTGTTCCAGGGCCAGGCTTCCCAAGGGCTGACTAGATGAGCTGCAGCCTGAGCTGGGCAGGAGCTCCTCTGCTCCAGACCAGGTCCTGAGGAGCCTGTGATAACTGGGTGTCTGTTATTTCAGCAGAGCATCTGACAGCATCTCCCTCTCAGCCTGCTGTGTTTTCACCTGGTTCTGCAGCTGAGGAGACAGCACACAAGCATTTCCCCCAAACCTGGATATGGAGTTTGTATTCTCTGGGGTGAGTAAACTCAGCAGGGGAGGGAGGTCTAGTCTGGTTGACTTTGTGTGGCCTGGAGCTGACAGCCAGTACAGCTGAGTTTAGATCATAAGCTGCTGAGGAAGTCACAGGGCTCATACCTGTCAGAGCTGATGTCTACATCAAATGAGTTTTCTTCTACTAGATATCATGCAGAAATATTGTCCCTCCATGGGATTTTAAAGAGTGTAGTGTAGCAAAACACCTTGGCTGGCTGCCTACACTCTGCTTATGGTCACCCTGTGGGCCAGCATTTCCCAAAATGGGCTCACAGGGTGCATCCTGGGATGAAGGGGAAGATGATCCTTGTGGAAACCCTTCACAGGACTGGCAGTTGTCCTGTGAGAAGGGCTCAGTGAGTACACAGAGTCTGCTGAGGGAGCTTTTGGAGATTTTCCATCTCTGACTTTAAGAATTTCTCATCTGGTGTCTGGAGACTGGATTCTGCTCAGGCCTGATGTCCCCACACCTGCCCTCTCCCACCTCCACTGTCCTTCCAGCTGCCCCATCTCTTCTGGACACCCCCTGCCCCAGGCTCAGGGCATGGGCTCAGCCTGGCAGCCAATAACCCCCTGGCTGCTCCAGCTCTCTGCCCAGCTCCAGGGGAACCCAGCCTGTCCCAGCCCAGCCAGGACAGTGATGTGCCCACAAGCCTGATCTGAGCAACCAAAGGTCTCTACATGGCATGTGTCACCTTCCTGGACGTGTGTGGTGAAAGGGAACATCTCCTGTTGCTGGAGTCAAGTACTAGAGTTAAGTTTAGCTGGGGCTGGTTTCATGACTGCTCTGGCAGCCACAGAACAATCTCTGCTGTGACGTGGGTCCCAGACAAGCCCCTGTCCCCTCCTCACGTGGGACAGGAAGGTGAATGGCTGGTTCTGTCTAAGTTCTGCTGATGCTTCATCAGTCCTGTTGCTCTTCTGGCGCCTGGTTTTCCATCCCTGGGCCAGGAAAGATTAAACTGCTGACATCTGTAAACCGTTTGTAGATGTGCAAAGGGCTGAGCGATGCCTCAGAAAGACAGAGTGTGACTGGCTGGAAACTACTGTCAGAAATGCTGTAGATACAAGCACCTGAGGCAGGGGTCCCTAGTTCTGCAAGGACCTGCTTGTAACCCTGCCAGGCCCACAAGTGCAGCAGAGGTTAGGGGTGAGACTGAGGTTAGGGGTGGGGTGTACTGGAGGGAAGGCACAGACCAGGTCACCTGCTGCTGGATACAAGAAGATTCAGTTAAATGCTCCTTTTGCCATCTCCCCAGTCCCAGTGGGAACAAGAACATCACTGTCACTGTGCCTGACACCACCACGGAATGGGAAGCAGGGATGTTCTGCACAGGACGTGGTGGCTTTGGACTTGCACCAGCCTTCAGGCTGCATGTTTTCAAGCCTTTTCATGTGGAGCTCCCACTGCCATCTTCTGTGGTCCAGGGTGAGACCTTCCTTTTGAAGGCAACAGTCACCAACTCCCTGCAGCGATGCATGAAGGTGGGTGAGCCCTGAGAGCCTGGGAGAGGAGCAGAGTGTGGGGAGGGAGGGGGTGGCTGGAGTCTGCAGCCTGTGGTGTTACCACTGTCACCTCTGCTGCCCCTCCAGCTCAGCGTGGCCCTGGAGGAGCTGTCACTCCTGCAGCTGAGGCCGTGCCAGGGCTGTGTCTACAGCCGCTGCCTGTGTGCTGGTGAAGCCAAGACCCTCCAGTGGAGCGTCACAGCCGAGCGGCTGGGTGAGGAGAGCAGGGAGGGGTGGTGCTGGAGCTGGGGAGGGAGGGGATGGACATGGGCTGTTCTCGAAGAGCTGACCTGCAGTGAAGGGTTGTGTGCCCTGTTAGCTCGAGGGTGCTCGTTTCCATTCACCCCCAGGCCACGATTACTTGCAGGTAAGCCATACAGAGCAATTTTTGGTGTCCATGGGAGACTCCTATTGCATTGATGGGAAGTGCTTCCTCAGAACATGGTTTGTGCACCTAAACATGTGTTATTTTCAGGGCTCACAAACCTGACTCTCAGCACAGAGGCCGTGGCCACCGAAGAGCTCTGTGGTGGAGAGAGACCATTTGTCCCAGCCCAAGGACAGAGAGACACGATCATCAAACTCCTGCTGGTCCGGGTCAGCCAAGCTGCTCTGTTAGCTACACCTGGCAGTGGCCTTAGTGCAAGCCCCAGGTTCTGTGGGGGTTAATTTTGGGAGCTACCCCTTGCTATTCAGGGGGTGTGATTAGAATCTCAGGGCCTGAGCTGGGCAGAGCTGTGAGGGCTGGTGGAGGTGGGAGGCAGAGGCAGATCCTCCACTTCCTAGCAGGGAAAACTTTAAGCATGTTCTC